AGAGAGAGAGAGAGAGAGAGAGAGAGAGAGAGAGAGAGAGAGAGAGAAGGAGGAGAAGGATCAGTAGAAAAATAATCCAAAAAGTGACTGGATGAAAACATGAGAAATGATCAACTGTGAAGCAAAGTGTTAATAAATTATTTTACTTATATTTATATTAAAAGAGAAAGGGAAAATATGTGAGGTTCACATCAAGAATGTGCAGTTACACATTTTAAATTAGCACTTTAAGACATAAGTAATATATTAATCTGTGGCAGAATTTGTGACGGCATCAACAGCATTCCTGTGTGTTGCATTGCTTTTGTTCCAATTTTTATTTCCTTTTCTTTAGAAAAGGGCTGTTGTAGTCACATTTCTGTTCTGTAAAGCTTGTGGTCTCTGGGGACAGCTGGTCCAGCACAGCCCTGGAGGGGACTGTCAGTTGAATCATCCTGAGCGAAGGCTGATTCCTCAGTCAGCTGCCTCTCCTTCCTCTCTGACCCAGCCTCCCTCCCCTGAGTCCCTTGATTGCTGTCACCATAGTGATTCTCTGTGTAGTTCTGCCCAGTCTCTGAGTCTGCACCCAAACTGACCCACCCAGTCTCTCACAGCAGCTTGTCTCCAACTCTGCACCTTGTCCCCTTCCATGTTTTGGTTTTTGCATGACTTGTTCCCCTGTTGACGATGACCTTTACGTGTGACTGTGCTCATCTAGCCAGGTAAAAAGGGCTTCCCTGTACTTGGGGGGAACATAAATACAAAAACACAGATTTGCTCTCCTTAAAAATCACTTACACACATGAACTCTTAGGAAATTTACTCCTGTTACAAAGTCCTCCAGTAATCAGCAACTTAAGCTTAAAATGGCAACAGCTTTTTAAAATGTAGTTATTGACTTTCCTGTTTAATTCCAACTATGACAGGAACATGTGAAGCACATTCATGGATAATTCACAAATCACTGGAGGTGCTTGTATTAATATGATGAAATGTGCTATGATGACACATTAAACTTTGAGAGACTACAGCTGCAAATATATTTGACTTTCAGGTCATTATTGACTACTGCCAAACAGGAAAGAGCAGTAAAGTTTTATTTTATTTTATCTTATCTTATCTTATGTTTTTGCCTGCGTATGTGTGCATTTGTGTGTGTCAGTAAAACATCACACGAACGCAGTGGTGCCAGAACAGGGGGGGGGGGGGGGGGGGGGCCTTTTCCCCCCCCCCCCCCCCCACACACACACACACACAAACACACACACACACTTTACGGCCCTGCTAGTCATCTGGTCCCAGACCAGCTACCCAGGCTACACCCGATGCCGACAAGCTGTGACTGACATCTCTGTGTGTGTGTGTGTGTGTGTCTACATACTGTACAGACAGAAACACAGGAAAACCTACAGCATTCAGATCTGGGCCAAATCTGTTTACAAGTCGCCAGACCCGCATTATCATCACCGGAGGGTTTTCGCATATGTGCCAGCTCCGGGTCGGGCTGGGATCTTGAGCCTGCATGACACCTGCAAAAAAAGTTTTGGCTCTGATCTGGCCCAGGTCTGGACCAAATCAGCCTAAAAATGAAATAAGAATTAGATATTTGTGCCACATCTGGCCCAAATGCTGTATTTATAGCACCTGTAGGCCACCTCGGACTCTGACCTAGATCCACGCCTGTTACAGGGCATTGGAAAACAAGAGACCCCGAGCCCAAGTCTGTTTATGGGTTTGGGCCAAATGCTCACCTATATTTGGCCCAGAGCAGATAACTTTTGCTGTCAGGGTACAAATAATTGCGCGCAAAGTTTGTCATTTTTGCTCGTCCAAAAGCCAGCTGGAGTTTGCAACTACGCTGCGATGGCAGGTCACTTTGGACAAAATTTATCCAGAGGAGGAGAAGAAGAGAACTTACCTGCTCATCGCTGAAATAGCAGAAGAAAAAAAATAAATCATTCAGGACCTGTGGCAGCAGGTCTGCTCCGATTTCTGAATGCATGTCACTCAGAAATGGCCGTCACATCATCTCTCTAGACATCCATTGCGCACAGAACCATTTCCCCCCCAATAAACTTCTGCCTTTTTTCTTTTCCTTAAAAAAAAAAAGACAATGATAATTAGTGTTAAAAAAATGTGAAAAAAAAAGCAGTTAGTTTTATTAATGATCATCATTCCTAATAAATGATTTGAATTTAAAAATCACAGGTGCAAACTTTTCATTATTTAATTGTTAATTGTTGCTTGATGATGATTCGATACAGACAGGAGTGTGATGAATAATTAAACTTTGTCTATTAAATGTAAAAACAGTCTATTTTTGTTTTAAAAATAATTGTTTAGTTAATTAAATCAAATTTTATCTTAGTTGTAAACTTGCAAAGTGAATTAATTGAGGTTATGTGGTGGTGAAAATCTGTGAACAGCGATGATGAGAGGGTGACAAACAAAAAAAGACACTAATCATTTCATTAATGGCATGATATACTATTGATAAACAGAGAAATACCTATCTACACCGCTCAGGGAAAAAAGAACACCTTATTCATGACTGAAGTAGTTTATTACA